CAAGTTCACCGAGGACCGCCTTCTATTTTCTGTCATCGCTTTTGCTTGCAGCAGTCCTTTTCGAACTAGATAGGCCCAGTGTCCCCCCCCCCCGCGCCAGCTCTTGCCCTGGCCCTCCCCCCGCTCAGTCTCGCTTTCCCTTACATCAGGTATCTCACCGCCCTTCGCTCTCCCCAACTTCACCTGCCTCATTCATCCTCCATGCGCTCCCTCCTCCTCCTGGGTCGGATGTGGCGAACGGCCTCACTCCCTCCTCCTCCTTCACCTGCCTCGCTTCCTCCTCCTCCTGGGTCGGATGTGGCGAACAGCCTGGCCTCGCCGTTTGCCCTCGATCGGGTTTGCCGATTGCCCGCTCGTGATTTCCTCCAGCCGCAGCAGTTTCAGCGCGATCTAACTTTACCTCCGCCGACGCCCGCCATTGGGCTTCCAGGCGCGCAGCTCGCCCGCTCCTTCGTACCACAAGGCCCGACAGGCCGATGGCGTCGATGGAGGTCGACCCCGCGCCCTTGCATCGCCCCCCTGTGCCCGACCATTCGCGCCCAGAGACGCCCTCCGAGGACGGCTTCGTGCCGAAAAAGCAAAGATTGTACGAGCTGTTGCGAGAGGCTCGGCTTATGAGCGGGATCGATTGAGCGAGAGAGGAGGTGGGGGGATGAGGAGGAGGAGGAGGATGAGGAGGAGGAGGAGGAGAAGGAGGGAGAGGAGGTGATGGAGGAGGGAGGAGGGAGAGGAGGAGGAGGGAGGATGGGGGAGGAGGAGGATGAGGGAGAGGGAGATGAGCATGAGGGAGAGGAGGGAAGGGGGAGGAGGGAGGAGGAGGAGGAGGGAGAGGAGGGGAGGGGTGGAGTGGCTTCGGGTATAGGAGAAGGGGGAGGAGGATGAGGAGAGGCGTGGCGCATGTTCGAGTGCCCCGGGAGGCGCAGCAGCGTTTGGAGATAGTCGAGAAGCGCGCCGACGCCATGGAGTGCGAACTTGGTGCTTTGAGGTCCGAGCTCAGTAAGAAGGTCGACCGCCACTCCGAGTCGAACGCGCAGAAATGCACCCTGACCGACGACGGCGGCGACGACGCGACGGCACCACGACACGACGCCAACGGCGAGAACGACTACGAGTGGGACCGCCTGACCATTGCGTATTCCGAAGACGATTTCTCGCAGGACGACCATGGGTACGACCACAACCTCGGGTTCACGCCCAACACGGTCCCATACCCGAAGACCCTGCCGCCGATTTACCGCCGCGCGATCCCGCTGCCCGACGTCGAGCCGAGCCACAGCAGGCGCAGTCGCGTCGAGCTTCCCGATGCCGCCCGTGTGGGTGGCGGCCCTGGTGGTGTCAAGATCCCGCTCGAGGTCGGCCATTCTTACTTCAGTCACAGCTACGTTGGAGCGGAGCCGATTCCCCCGTCAGAGTACTGGCCCCGCATCGATCTGCTCATTGTCAAGCCGAGTGTGATTCTGCCGGTTCGCCAGCCGTTCGGGGCTGACGGCAATGGTACGGTTGACCTGGCTGACAGCCAGGATTCAAGCACTTCCGACAGTGATTGAGCTGCCCTGGCGTGATATTGGCTGGACATGTCGTAGACATAAGCCTGCTGGGAGGGGTGCCGACGCGCCTGGGCTCTGTTGCACTCACTCCATCGCCTCGCCTTTCTCTCCACTCCTCTTCGATTGCAACGCGTCGTTGCCATCGCGGCGCCCCAACCGATACCCCTATCTCCTCTCTTCTACCCGTGCAAGCGGGGCTTGCGGCCATTGGCGTAGAGCCCGTCGCATAGCGTTATATGAGCTGGTCTGGGCCAGGCTGCCCCCGAGAGCGTTCACGTGCAGTCGACGTCGGACTCGCACTGCCAGTGTAACATAGGAGGTAGGAGGCAGTCGATGCGACACCCGTTCCAGAGGAAACGATGGGGTTATGATATTGGGCAGCACCCCTCCGCCCCAATGCCCCCAAGACGGACATGTAGCCCCCCCCCCCGACGCCACCAAGACATCAGCAGGGTGGTCTAAACAATAAACAACGCCTCGGGGCTACTAACACGTGTGCATGGGACCGCCCGCCGCACTTCAGGAGATGCCTGGTTCCGTTCCACTTGCTGCCGCATGCGGGCCTGAATGCCCAATGTGGCCACGCTGCCGTTGGAGACCTGGGGGAGCCATTGAGGCCGTCTTGTGGAGCTGGAGGCTGACGATGACAAGGGCGCAGCTGGGGAGGATCATCTGCCAGCTTCGAGCTCGCCAGAGGGCAATTGTGACCCTCCTGCCCCGAGGCGCGAGCATGACCCTCTGGGCGCGCGCCGAGGCAGCAAATCATCATTGCCCTTTCTGGGGCTCGACGCTGCCATGATGATCCTCCCCAGCTTCGCCCTTGCACTTGCCAGGTGCATGGCAACTGCGAAGCGGGGCCCTCTTGGGGCCCTGAGAGGAGCACGCTGGGGCCGCAGGGGGGCTCCAAGAATGCTCCAAGAATGTCCGCCAACCCGCCGCGGACAGGGGGCAGTCTTCGTGACAGGTTGATGGCCCCTTTTGGGATATTGTTTGCCCTATTGTGGCCCTCGTGGGGCTCTGAGAGGAGCCCGCGAGGGGCCCAGGGAGGCCCCAAGATGGTTCCAAGATGACCGAACAACCTGTCACGACAAGGTGCCGTCTTCGCGACAGGTTGTAAGCCCCTTTGGGGGCCCTCTTGAGCCCTCTTTGGGCCCTCTTGGGGCTTTGAGAGGAGCGCGCGGGGGCCCCAAGGGGGCGCCGATGAGGCTCCAAAGGGGGCCGACAATCTGTCACGAGCGGATGCCGTATTCGTGACAGGTTGTGGGCCCCTTTGCGAGCGTTATTTGGCCTTCTTGGGGCTTTCTTGGGGGCCTGCGAGGAGCCAGTGAGGGCCCATGGGGAACCAGCGGGTGCTCCACTATGGCCCAACAACCTGTTACGAAAAGGGGCAGTGTTTGTGACAGGTTGTAGGCCCCTTCTGGGGTCCTGATGAACCCTCTTGAGACCCTGTTGTGGCCATGAGAGGAGCCCAGGGGGGGCCCAGGACGAAACTTGGGAGGAACATCGTGCTAGCTTCGGCCCCCCAGGGGGGCAATGCTGATCCTCCTGCCTCGGGGCGCGAGCATTGCCCTCTGGGCGCGCGCCGAGGCAGGGGGATCATCATTGCCCTCTGGGGGCTCGAAGCTGGCATGAGGATCCCCCCTCAATATCGCCCTTGTGCGCTGCCCGCCTCCGCCTCGCGGGGCCGTCTTGGACCTCTCTGTGGGTATGTCGGTGTTTTCTGGGGCGTCGCTGGGAACTCGTTCTGGCCACCCTAGGGGCTCTCTCTGCGACCCCCCAGGGATCTCGAACGAACCCCAAGCCGCACCATGTGTATTCAACTGCCCGCAGCCCCAACACATGCGAAATGTGTTTGACAGCCGCCTCTGCTCACCCCTCATGGGGCATGTCATGCCCCTCTTGAAGAAATATTGGGCCTGTGTCCCCCCCATGGCTTCACGCTGCGCATCGCGCCTCGGATGCCCCCCCCTGTGGATTGCACGAACGGCACGTCCGACGCGCGTTGCATGTTCATGGCTTCGCCTATGGGGCCGCCTATAGCCGACCTGATGTGATTGCGCGCTGCCTTTCTGGGCTGCTTGTTCGGCGCCCCTGGCAGGCGCCCTGAGAAATTGAAGCGAACGCCGCGTCGGGCTCAACCCTATGAGCACAACAACACAGCAGCCCGCGTGAGTTAGAGGGCCCGATGCACAGCCGATGGTGCTTGACCCAGAGCGAAGAGCCCCCCCCCCGACACTTGCAGCGAGGGTCCCGCGAAGGACGTGCCAGATGCACCATGACGCCACACTCGGATTTGACGTTGGCTCCAAACAGGTATCAGGCGCCCCCCTTTGGCCACGGGCCCTCCTTGTTGCATTCTTGTGGGCCTCTGGGAACTCTTTGGGCGCCTTGCGGGTGCCCTTGCAGAGCCTGCCAAGGACCCAGCACGGGTCTCGTCCAACACATGTCCCAAGACGTGCGCCAGGGCATTCCTTGTGCGAGCGAGCGGGGCCAAGCAACAAATCGTGCTCCTCCCGCGCATGTGCGTGCTCTCTCCTGCTGGACCCATGCCCCCGTTGAGGCGCGCGTCTCGCCCACCTCACTTGTTTGACCGTCGCTTCGCTCATTGACAAACCCAGGGTGCAGCGCATGCAGCTGCACGTGGCAACCGTTCCCTAGACGGCCTTTGCAATGTATTCATGCAAACTTGCACGTGCACGCGCGCGCATGACCGTCCTAAGCGTCGCCTTCATCCAGCACCCTCTCAACGTCATGTAACACCAGTGCTCGAGATGTTCTCCCCGCCCCGCGCAACATTCAAGGTTTGGAACCTTCCTACGTGAAACTAACATCGGGCCGCTCTTCGGAACGGGGGGCTGGTGTCTTAGCAATGCCCTGCCCCGATTGTCTTCCACCCCATGCTTGCCCTCTCCACCTCCGCCCTTCCGAGTCCATCCTCATTTCCCTTGTCCTCTTTACCCACCGCACCTGTATGAGCTCAGTGGAATGCTCGGTTGTCTTTTCTCGTGTTGGTGATGTGGTCGTGGGTTGCCGCTGCGTTCCTCGATCGCGGCCGCATTATTTTGGCATGGTTTCGGCTGTCGCTTTTCGCGTAGGGAAGTCCGACAACTTGGGATTCAGGGTATTGCTACCCCTTCATCGGGAGTTCCAAGTTATGCAGGCCACTCGTGATAAGTTGTCCTGTGCCGTGGGTTCTGGAGCTGCTTTTGAAGGGTCCGAGGTCGACGCCGCCCGACGTCCGAGAGCTAAGTGTAGCCGAATGTTTTCGACGGCCACCCGATTCGACCAGGCAGTTGTTTCGATCCAGCCCAGGGGCTCCAGGTGTTGTTCCATGGGTTCGTGACGTCGTTGATGTCGGTGGGGTTCGACTGTCGACTTGTTGACAGGGAGGCAAGCGGGGCTTGCTGCCTCCGGCCCTCTGCTTGTCCGATTCGCGTCCCCCCCGATCCCGAGGAGAACCCGCAGTTCCAGATCGCTGGTGGCGATGGCAACCCCGTGGCCGTCACGCGCAGCATCGCCGAGCTCTACTTCCGCGTCTTCTCGCACATGCCGATCAACGAGGTCATCGCCCGCAAGAACAGCAGGGCTGCCCAGGACAGCACATTCAGACAGCAAGTCCAAGAGGCGGAGGCGGCTTGGGCCAGCCGCGCCAACCGCACCTCGCTCGACACGGTCAGCCAGATGGGGCAGGGGGACAACGTCTCGGTCGGTTTCGGCAGCATGGTCAAGGTGAAGCGCAAGGTTGCCACCTTGAACAGGATTGAGTTCACGTACCACCATGACGGCCAGGAGCCGTTGCAGCGCTTGGTGCGCCACCACCCGACGATGATGCTGCCGGTTCGTGGTGCGACTTCTGGTGAACAGGAAAAGGTATGGTTGTTAGAAGTATTTCCTGGCGCACGCCGCACAATGAGCTTCACCACCTTCCACAAGGTTACCGCTGGCTCGACCCCTGTGCGGCCAGAAGACGTCTTCTACCTTGGTCAGGTGGCGGACTTTTACAAAAAGGGGCTTGCCGACCAGAATGCTGAGTTCGACTTCGACGTGGTGGACAAGGACCTTCCGACCATCAACGACACCAGAGAGAAATACGGCTTGCCCCCGCTCCACCCGCACCAGGCGGTTGGCAGCCACGACGCCCCCGCCGCTGAGTTTGATGAGGCAACGCCGCCTGCCGCAGCGGCGCATGCAGGTGGCGGTCTTGTTGAGAGCCTCGAGGCGGCGATTGGCGGCGGCGGCGGTGCGCTCGACACCTCCCTGGCCCTGGCCCCCGTGATCCAGTTGCCGTCCGCTTTCGGCAAGAGCGCGGATGCTGCTGGGGGTGCCAACAAGCGGAGGCGCGTGCAGCAGATGCCTGCAGCCCCTCTCGAGGCGTCGCCTGGCAGCGCAGGTGACATTGCCATCTTGGATGACGTTGCATCGGTCGCGGGGTCTACTCAGGTCGGCAATGCCAGTGCGACAGGCAGATTGAGTGATATGCGCCAGGGCCCCTACAAACACATATCGAACCTGAATTGCGAGGCTGAGATGCTGCAGGGGAACTTGGGGAACTTGCTGTCTCACGCCCAGAAGTGGGTGCGTGAAAATTCCGAGAACGCCGCAAAGTGGGGCAACGGGATGTATGACTTGAAGTCCAGGATCGCGAAGTTTGAGATGGCACACATCGTATCAGTTCGGCATCATGACAGCTTCACGGACGCCGAGGTGGCGAAGGCAGTCAGGTACATGATCCACTTTGACGGGGAGCTGCCACCCGCTGTCAACCTCAAACTTGCATGAGGGCTGCGAAGAAGTCGATGGGCCAAGTACGGGATGCAGCTACCTTCAGCACGTTCTTCGGCGATTGTTTGCCCTTCGACCCCAGCTGCGACGACGAGTTCGACAGCGATTCGCCGCGGCTGTGCGCTCTGGACGTGGAGGCGGCTGTCAAGATCCACTCGTACATGACGTCGTTCATGGACAGTTGGCTTTGCCCTATCTTGCAGCAAAGGGGCGAATCGCGTCAGCTTTTCTCTGCCGCCTTGTCCGCGGCCCGCGAGAAGGTCGCCCTCGTTGTTGCTGAGGAGTTGCCCGAAGAGTACATGCGGTTCTTCTGTTCCTTGTCGGAGGCATTCGACGCGCTGGCTTTTCTTGCGGGCGACGCATCTGCCATGACATTGGACGACATTTCTGAGAAGGTCAAGGCCCACGTCGCCCTCTTGAGCGATCAGAAGTCCACCGACCCGATCGTGTCAAGGATCGTGAGGTTCATCAGCGCGACACCCGTCTACATGGACTTGCTGTCCGACTTATCCAAGGCGTCGCAGGGGATGCAGTCCATGGGCCGCCAGTTAGCATACATACATTCGGCGCTGACGGCCGACGACCTCACGACCCTCAGTTCGACCGAGGAATGGTGGAAGGTGCTCGAGTGCCACGGGAACATCGCCAAGGACATGTTGGCTATGGTGGATGCCCTTGGCTCGGCGTTCGGAGACAGCTTGAAGGGTCGGGCCCTCCTGAAAGCAGACGTTGTCGTCAAGAGCTCTCTGGATCGCGCTCATCACGACGCTGCTTCGGAGGTAGAGGCGGAAGCGTTCAGCAAGATGGTGTCGTATCAGCGTCTCGTGTGGCACGACTTGCAGTGCTTCCTCGACGCGGAGTCCGAAGCCGCCGACCTGATCGTCTCTCTGAGGTCACAAGCAACGGTCGCCAGCTTCGCGATCGCAGTCCAGGCTGCTGCCGATGCGACCGACCTCACCCAGGATCATGGAGACCGCGCAGCGCGGCATGGAGCAGGTCAGGGGCTCGGTCGCCGTCAGCGAGACTGTGCAGCAGCACGTGGAGACGCTGGCCGCCAAGTGCATCAAGATAGCTATCGACGTGTCCGTTCACAGCGAGGTGATGCGCACTGCGGCTTTGAACGCGCTCGCTGCCGCCCTGGACATCATGCCCCAGAGCGTCATCCACAAGGGCGTGGTGGACGTCCTCAGGCAGCACAATGCGTTGGCAGTTCGCCTGGCGGAGTTCAAGGCGAAGCGCGCCGCGGGCGACGGCAGCGGCATAGATCTCGACGCCGCGTACCAGTGCGACGGCCTCTCAGGGCTGAAGGGGTGCACCACCGCGCTGTCCGCCCTCATGTCGAAGGGTTCGTTCCCCGGCGTCGTAGGTGATGCCAAGTTGGTGGACATGGCGGTGGTGCAGTGTACCGTCGCGCGCACGCTTGTCGACGAGGTTGCCTACTATGGCCTCAAGGCCCTCGTGCCGAAGTACCAGAGCGGCATCCTGGCGGAGCTGGACGGACACAAGGGCGGCCTGAAGAACGGCGCCGACTGGGTGGACGGGCTGTCCGCGTCAGGTGCCACGGAGAAGTGGGACAAGGTCAAGAGCGTGGGGGTGGCCACTTTGCTGGCCGACGGCGTCGCCGGCGGCCTCCGCAGGAAGGTCGCGGCAGCTGTGGAGGACCGCGACGGGCGCCCAACCGCCCGCTTCTCAGGAGGAGGGGGAGGGGGGGGGGGGAGGAAGATGAGGACGTAGTGGGAGGAGGGGGGAGGAGAACGATGAGGGAGATGAGGGCGGCGTTCTCTCTCCGCCCTCAGCGCCATTCACTGCTGTCAACCCCCATTGGTGGCATTGTGTTTCTGGTGCCCCCCTCGTCCTTGAGCCCGCTCCCGTGCGCGGCCTCGCATTTCGCGGGTCGCCCCGCAGGAGGAGCGCCGCATCGCCGAGTGGGCCAATAAGTACGAGCTGCAAGTCGAGGGCACGGTCCTCAGTGAAGGCAAGCAGCTCGCTGCCAAGTGCATTGTGGTCTGGGCGTCAGCCTTCCTTCTGAAGGCATTTTCGGAGCAGGTCGACATGGTGGCCTTGCGCAAGGCTGCGATGGCGGCGCAGTCGGAGCTGGCGAAGTTCAACAAGGGGCTCGGCGACATCGTCCCATCGGTGTTGTCCAAGCAGGCCAGCGATGCGCTGGTCTTCGAGTGATGGCCGCCGCCATTGAGACGTGGCGCGCCCGCAGCTCGCTCGACCAGAGTCGGGAGGGAGGCAGGACAGGGGGACCAGTGTGATAGCCCAGTGGTAGCAGGGGGGGGGGGTGATTCCATTATTTGAGTTGAGCAGGTTGTTGGGGCGGGAAGTTTGGTCGATGATGGAGTTGCTGTGTCGACGACTCCTGGGTGCATCCAAGTGCCGTTGTGTTGTTGTTTTTGGGGCGTCGTGCTCGCCTCGACGCAAGGGGCGGTCCGCGGCGCCGCGTGGCGCCCCGCCCTTCGCCCCCGCAGAGGGCGGAGATAGGCGGCGAGATGCTCGATGCCCGTGGGATCGTCGATCGCTTTGCCCCGCCTGGCGCCTGGGGCCTGGAGGAGGAAGGGCCCTCCTCCTCCAAATCGCCACCTCCACCAGCCCAGACATCCTGCGTCTCCTCGTCCTCCGATCCTTCCCCCATGCAAGCAATTGTCACTGTCCCCCCCCGCCCTCCGCGTTCGTCCACCTTCCCCCTCCCCATTCCCAATTCCACTCAACTATCCCACCCCTCATCCGTCGCCGAGCCGCTGGTCGGCGTCGGGGGGCCCCGCGGCCGAGAGGTCCCAGGAGGGGGGCGCTTAGGCCTCAGGACCTGCGGCCTGGAGAGGCGGGGGCGGGCGGGCAGTGAGGATGAGGGTGGAGGGGTGAGAAGAGAGAGGAAGAGGACATTGTGCGATCGAGTTGCGTCGGTCAGTTTCTCTGGGCGGCCCCGCAAGGCCCGCTCGTCATTCTCTTTGGCGCGGCTGTCTCTCTGGGCCCGCGCGGGGCCTCGATGGTGAGCGCAGGGTTTGCCCTGCCGCTGCCCAGAAAACGCTGGCTCGAGGGGCCCCTTTCGGGTTCGGAGAAACTCTCGGGAGCGAGGGTCGAAACCATCATCATGCTGTAGTCATCAGCACCATTTATATTATAATATGGTCCTCCAGGTGGCTGGGGTGATTTATGTTTTTTTGAGGGGTAGCGTTCGCGAATCACCCTCGGGCCCACCTGGAACGCCCTGCGCCCCCCTGGGGGTCTGTGGGGGGTGGCGGAGGGAGCGGCGGGTGGCAAGGGGGTCGGCGAGAGGAGAAGGACTGTGATGATTGTTGGCTCAAAATACACAATCGGAAAACCATGGCATGGCATATGGTTGTTTCGGAACAGCGCGTGCTGTTTGCAAGGGCCTAAACTGCTTGTTGGGGCAACCGGTGTCGTTTGCAAGGGCTTGAAAGGTGTTTTTTTCGGACACTCGATGTCGTCGGAGATTGTTTTTGAGGCGCGTGTCGTTGCAGCGTTTTGATTGTCTGCGTGTCTCTGGGGCGCCGTTTCCAAGATTTGCGTGCGACTAGTATGCAGCTGGAAGCCAACGCTATAAAGTGGAGCTGGAATGTGGCGGTTGCGGGAGATGATGATCATGATGGTGATGATGATGATGACGACGACGATGACGATGACGGTGGTGGTGATGATGGTGATGACGGCGATGACGATGATGATGATTATGAAGGAGAAGAGAATGATGATGATGATGGTGATGAGGATGATTATGATGATGATGTTGGTGGTGATGATGATTACTATGTGATGGTGATGATGCTGATGATGATGATGTTGATGATGTTGATTACGATGGAGTGGTGATGGTGATAATGATGATGATGATGATGATGATGATGACGATGATGATGATGATGATGATGATGATGATGATGATGATGATGGTGTTGGTGATGGTGACCTTGCGGGCTTGCCTGGGCCGACAGATCCTGGGGAGGAGGGGGCGATTGACATGTTACCGGGCCTCAACGTCCCAGGGGGCACGGTGGCGGTTCTGCAGCTATTTGGAGATATATGTAGCTATCTTGGAGGTCATCTTGGGCTTTCTGAGGCCTCCCAGGTTGGAGGCCATCTTG